CTTCATATCCAACAATTTTTGTTTTAAATATTTTTTTATTTAATCGCGATGTTTCGAGTTATTTGGCTGTCTAAGTTAAAATGGGTCACCCTGTATATCAATCCAATATTATAGTGATTAGAAATAGAATCAAATTTAACATTTTATAAATATTAATTAATTAAATATCTTTACACACACATTATTTTGATGAAATCTCGAGTACTATTTGTAAAATTGATATACATATCTTATGTAATTAAAAATTTTACACCAAAAACTTATATTAATACCATATAAAATATATAAAATTATTAATAAATATATTGAAAATTGCATCAAAATTTAATAGAACGTTATGATATATTTATAAAAAGTCTAAACCTTTTAGAAGTACTTTAAAATGTGTATTTAAATGATCAAAAATTTAAACAATATAATAAATTTCACGAATAATTCACAACAATATACATGCATTAAAACTTTTCAGATTTTTTAAATATTTGCACTAAGTTCACTGAAACTTATCCATCTCCATTCCGAATATGGATAGGCCCAAAATTAATCATCGTAATATATGAACCGGACCAAATAAAGGTAGAAAAATAATATTTACATTCTACCATATATAAATATTTATCAACTTAGCTATCTTATACATATATGTATACTATATAATGTGTCCCTCCATACAGTGCAAAAACTGCTACAACGACATCAGCACATGAAAACAAGTAATATGTCCGATTCCGAATGATTTTAGATATATGCGGTATTGAAATAAGAAAACATTGTGGTATACATGTTGTTTAATGTTATTCTATTTAATTTTTTATAAAAGATGATAAAAAATTTCTCTGCCAATTTTTCTCGACACATTTTTTGGCACAAATTAATAAATTGTTTTGGACTTTTATAGAAAAATATTTGAAATTTCACAATGATGATATTGGTAACATTAAGTATCACTTACCATAATTGTTCTGAATTCTGAATCTTTTGAGAACGAATGAAAGATTTAATAACAAAAAAACTCCAAAAAAACAGGGCGAATGAGAGTCAGCGTGGTAATTAACACGCAATCTTAATTCTTCAATCCGAAAATAGAATCTTTATTCCAAAAATAGTACGTTTCAGTTCACTCTTTGGAACCATCTTCAGCAAAAACAAATTTAAAATATCAGTCCCTTCATGTCAAAGAAAAAATCACCATCAGATTAGCAGATTTGATGTTATAATCCCAAGACATAGAAGGAATTCGTCTCAACATTGGATCAATTAATTACAATTAATATTTACTAAAAAGTATCAAATATTAAAAAACGCATGTTGATCGCAGCTCGAACGAAACATAACATTAGTTTAATTTTGGAATACTATTTTTGGAATAAAGATTCTATTTTCGGATTGAAGAATTAAAATTGCGTATTAATTATCACGCTGATTTTTAGCTTTATCAGAATAAGATTCAAGAAACAAAACATCATAATAAAAGACATTAAACAACATTTACTTCGATTCGTGTTATCTTACTTCAATTCACCATAACTCTGAAACCGGAATTAGACATGTGCAGTTTATTAGACATTTTCGATTTTTCGTGTGCTGAAGTTTTCAAGCCGCTGTAGCAGTTTTGGCACTATATTGAGGGACACCCTATATAACGTATTGTGATCCACTTAATTGACCATCTGAAATATCTCGCTTATTTTTGATGACATAAAAAAATGTTTTATAATAAATAAAAGTGGAAGGGTTTCGAGGGGGAACGCATTTTGGTCATGTTGTTTTTTTTTAGGTGGAGGCGTCAAAAAAATGTTACCTCCACTTTTTAAAATGGAATTGTATGATTTTTTTTACACAATATGATTCCTCTAATTATTCTACATATAAAAATATTAAAATAGTAATATCAAAAAATCAATAGTTGACGAGATATTTTACATTTTATTTTGGCACATATTGACGTAAAATATTACAATAAATAACTCGTGAACTATTAACTTTTCAACAATCATACCTTAATACTTTCATGAACAGAATAATGAGATGAATTAATTCGTGGAAAAAAAACATAATGGCTTATTTAAAAAATTATCCATTTTGTATACATATTTTTTAAAAACAACTATGTGTTTTCTTTACTCCAACTGATTCATCTCATTATTCTGTTCATAAAAGTATTAAGATACGATTATCAAAAAATTAATAGTTATGTCAAGATCAAGGTCATTGGAGATGGCGTCCTTTTTTTATAATACATATTTATCATATATATACAGAGTGTTTGATAAGTAATGATAAAACTCTCGTATAGGAGTCGAGCGGACTAAACTGTTGACGCACTTGTTGTGCTAGATCTTGTGACCTTTGCGTATGTGCACGCGCTTTTTCTTATAGGCCTTGTAGCTTCAACCTTGTATTCCCTTGGAGGATTAGTGAGTAGAGGTCTTATCTTCCGTAGATAGTTTATTGCATAAGAGGTACAGAATCAACGTAAATGTATAACCTCTACTGAAATCTGTGCTTACAATAACATATTCCCTAAGACAACGACGCAACAACACTTACTACTCACGCCATGTCTACTAGACGCGCAACGCCTCAACGACAATCCGCGGAAGCAAAATAGGGCACTCAGCGCATAGAGCAAGAGAAAGCACGCAAAGCATGAACATGCCGCCGCCCTTGAAAGCCTCATCTTTCAAAGAATTGCAAGTGTGTAATGCAGCAAAGAGTAAACAAAACCCAAAACAAAAAAAAACTTTTGTTGAGAGAACTTAGTTTGTGATAATCTAGCGCATGTAGTAAGTAAATTAAGAAAATTATTATGATGGGAACTAGACTAAAAGATAAAGTTTATTATTAAATGATAGATGTAGATTAAAATTGCTTAAGACTAATAATGATCTGAGGTTTGACCTTCAATAGGTAGAAGACACAATCGCGTAATAGGACGCTTGTACCTCCCCCCAGTGGTACGGATAGTAGCGGTGCGAGCCACGCCATCTTTCCCAGGATGTATTTCTTCGACTCGTCCCAGGCGCCAAGATAAGGGTGGAGTATTGTTCTCAATCATAATAACGAGTTGTCCAGGGTTTATTGAAACCTCAGGTGTTTGCCACTTATTTCGTTGCTGCAGTAAATGCAGATACTCATGGCTCCAACGGCGCCAAAATTGTTGTCTTAGTCTTTGGATATGTTGCCACCTAGACAGCCGGTTAATGGGAACATCTAAGAGAGATTCTTCGGGGTAGGCAGTTAAAGGTGTACTTATCAAGAAGTGTCCTGGGGTCAGGAACATGAGATCCCGGGGATCAGAGGACAACGGAGTGATGTGACGAGAGTTTAAGATCGCCTCGATTTGTATCAGGAGCGTTTCTAATTCCTCCCATTTTAGATGAGCATCTTTTGTTGCCTTGACCAAATAGCGTTTGGTAGCTTTCACAGCTGCTTCTCAGAGTCCTCCATGATGGGGAGCTTTTGGTGGAATGAAGTGCTATCTGATTCCTTTACTAACGGTGTGTTCGATCAACTTCTTCTGTGTTTCCTGATTCTGGAGAAGATCACTCAATTCTCTCAAGTCACGTTCGACTCCCACGAAGTTAAGGCCATTGTCGGAGAATATCTCAGATGGGCAACCCCTTCTGGCAATAAATCGTTTGAAAGTGTTTAAGAAGGCCTCAGATGACAAGTCTACAGCTAACTCGATGTGTACTGCTTTCGTGGCCATACGCACAAAGATTGCTATGTAACATTTTATTAACTTGGCGTTTCTTCGGACTCCTTCCTTATGATATAGCAGACCTGCATAATCAACTCCGCACTTTTCAAATGCTCTGGTGGGCACCTGAACTCTAGCAGGTGGTAAATTACCCATGATAGTAGCAGCGGGTCTAGGGTTGCTTCGAAAACATGCTACGCAATCTCGAACTATCTGTCGCACTACGTCCCGCGTCGAAATCAACCAATATCTTTGATGTACCGCAGCAAGGGTGGCCTGTAGACCTGAGTGGAAATGCCTCTCATGCTCATACCTTACAATTAATTTAGAAAATGGATGATGTCCCGGGAGCAACATAGGATATTTTGTTGCAAAGGATTGACTTGAAGCTTTGAGACGTCCTCCCACTCTTAAGATTCCAGCCTCATCTACGAATGGACTTAGTTTCAATATTCGACTCCTGCTGCTTATGACTTCATGTTTGGCCAGAGAATTTAATTCTGCAGCAAAATATTTACTCTGTATGAGCTTTACTAAAAGCAGAATTACTTGAGCTTGCTCTTCCTGAGTAACAAGTTCGATCGAATCTATGTTGTTTTTAGAAGATGTTTGCGGGCCTTTGACTGCAAACATCTTCTTTACAGTCTTGTGTTTCTTGCGAATCGGAGGATGTAAGCGACGACTCGGATGAGCTTAGTTAAACTAGAGTATCGTGTGAAAATATCAATCTCTTGGCAAGGTGTCGCAATTGCCACAACAGCCTTTGCTCTTCTTTCAGGAATCTCCTTGGGACAGGTATTGAGTGAAATCTGTGGCCAGGTTTCAGCATCCTGCACCAACCAAGGGGGACCTGCCCACCAGATTTCCAATGGTATCAAAGCCTTGGGCACCACACCTCTAGACAGGGGGTCAGCTGGGTTGTCCTGGCTTCTCACATGTCGCCAACGTTGAACTGGCGTTAGCTGCTGAATTTCCCCTATTCGATTAGCAACAAATGGTGTCCATGAGCGGCTGCAAGACTGCAGCCAGGCTAATACTATACTAGAATCCGTCCACAGCCAAATTGCATCTATTTTGCATGGTAAACAGTTTAAGACCTTGTGCATTAATTGCGCTAATAGCAAGGCTGCGCATAACTCCAATCGAGGGAGAGATATACTTTTTAGGAGTGCTACCCTAGATTTAAAGCATAGCAGGTTTGCTGAGTGATTTCCATTGATGGATGTTGCCCGCAGATAAATGCAAGCTCCATACGCACATTCACTTGCGTCTGAAAAGCCATGTAGCTCCAAACGCGAATGTTGAACAGTCGATGTGGCGAGTCTTGGTATGCTTATATCCTTCAAGTCTTGTAACTCGAACTCATAACGCTTCCACTTAGAGTGGCAACTTAATGGAATGGACTCATCCCAATCAGATTTGAGTCTCCAGAGTTCCTGCATTATTATTTTAGCTACCACGGTTATGGGGCCCAGCAATCCAAGGGGGTCAAAGATCAATGCTAAAATACTTCTTTTAGTGGATTTTTCCAATGCGGAAAGATGACCGATGTTAAAAAACTTAAACGAGTCTGATGAGCAGTCCCATGTAAGACCTAAAACCCTCGTTTCTGAACTCTTATCTGTAGATAAGTTGAATTCTCGACTGAGGTGCTCCTGTTGATCATCCCGTAAAGAAAGCTCGTTGGAAGACCATTTCCTTAATTCAAACTTTCCCTCTCGCAATAGTAATATCAATTCTTTCTTCATCCGAGCTACTTCTTCAATGATATCAGCGCCAAAGACAAGGTCATCCACATAGAAATCTCGAAGTGCGATCTTGGATGCCAAAGGGTACAGCATAGCATAGTTCTCGGCTACCTTTCTTAACGTTC